GCTGGGAAGATTATAGAAAGCGCTCTCAGGCCGGCGCTGATCTTTATTCCAGAGGCTTTGTGATGATATTGATGGTGATGGTGGTCAACTGGACAGTTTGATTTTTGTGTTTGGAGCTAGTTATAAAGAATCAATATTATATCAAGGGGTAACTTTCGTGATAAAGGACTTTAACCACTCCAGCTATTCATCATAAGTCTGTAGCAAGCAGATAGGTCAAAAGAAATTATATTGCAGTAAAGAGTTAGTCTTCTTATCTCTCCCATACCAGGGGAATAGGGACAAGCCGATCGATACAGTAGCTGCTGTATACCTCTTGCAATTATCAATAGCTGATTTCGCCTTTTGAGGCCTGCATCTAATAATGCAAGCTAATAATAATCGTTTGAGCCTCCCTATAGGCAAGGGAGTCAAAGTTTTAGCTGGCCAGCATTATTTATGTGATCATACATGCCGAGGACCCTTCCTGGGTCTACAGGCAGCCCAGATACACAGCCCAAAAGGGCACACGAAAGGAACTTCCACGTCAAGGGTGAAGACAACCGCCTATGTGACATAAAAAGCCACAGGAAAGCCTGTGATGCGTACACATGAAGTTGTAAGCCATCCTGGAATGAGCAGGCAGGGCTGCCGCACAAAGACCTCTGTGGCTCCTACCTATTAAAAATATTTCGACGTATTTATCTCAATAGCTTGGAAAGCCAAGAAGGTGACAGCAGGAGGTGTGTGGAATGCCGACAGGGTAGTTGGCTACGTGTTGGTTTATTAAGTAGAGCGTTTTATTTTTATGGGAGAAGTTACCTTCAAGTGGGAAGACAAGGAGCTTGGAAAAGGCGTAAATATAATTTTTGGCTACATGTTTCCTAGCTCCCCCCTCCATGTAATAGAAAAGCAACATCTTTATAATTGGCACTTGACATGCTGTTTGCGTTGGGCTGTGGCACACCACGCACAGATTTCCTGTTGATGGAAACATTTATCATCCTGATTGCCCCAGAGTGGCAGGTGGCGTTATCAATTACCTCTTCTTACCAATAATAATATTAGTATGGTAATATCTCTGCCCGAGTGAGAACCAATTAGCGGTCACTTGTCACAGCATTAAAGACACAAAATCATGCTGCATTTAACAGTAAGGACACAAAACAAAATTTGGGGAGGGGGAGATAGGGCCAATGAGAAGAAGAAAGAAACTCTGGTTTGGGGGAAAGAAATGAAAGGAGACAGGAAACAAAGCTCTAATATTTAAATTCTCCTTCTGTATTAAGGGCTAGGGAAATATGCACACTGTAAATAAAGTGTCAGAAGCACCTTATGTAAAACGGTCTTTTGTGGACGGGGAGCCAGGTAGCAGCCGAGTAAAGTGGGACGTTCAAAATAGCACCAACTCTTCACCCTCCCCATGTCAGATCAATCTTGCAGACAGGCTTTCTGTTTTATCTGAATAAGTGATACAAATTACATCAAACACCTAATTATACGTTCCACTAATGTAAAATATACAGTATTAATTTGTAAATAATATTATTAAGCAGACAAAATAATAACGTGTCGCCTCTTAAGATGAAAACAACATTGCAAGAGGAAAGACAATTAACAAATTAGATTTAATTACAGGGAAGAAAAGCAACTTTTGTTTTTTCAATAGTGTTTAGGTATTACAATATTTTAATAGACAGTGGTCATGTGACGGTAAGTGTGTGCGCGCCGCGTGGGAGTCGGTGTCTGCACCTCTGGTGCACATACCGCGGATGCCTTTAATCTGGGCGCCACTGGAGGCCACATCCTGTCCCTCGTCCGGGACAATATTCCGTTGACATGTTCTCACCTCGCAATAAATCTATTGTCGTGACTCAAGCTTAAGATGCATATGCTTCCATAAAATTTGTTGCACCAAATAAAAGCAATTAAAAGTTTCAGAACCCAGTGGAGTGGGGCGAGAAGGGTGAACAGGTAAGTCAGGAGGTAACCCGCCTTTTGTTTTCAAGCTTAAGTTTTTTTTATTGATCTTGTTTACCCAGGCCAGTTTGTAAAAGGTGCGCCACAGGATTTACTGATGTGCACCCACATTCCTCAGTGGGGGCAGGTCCCCGGTTCTCAGCCTTCCTGTCCCTTTAGTCCAAGTGTGCTCCACGTTCTCAACGAAATCCCAGCGCCGTGCTCGCAGCGGGCGCGGGGAAGCCTGCACCTCCCCTAGCCGCTCCGCCCGCGCCTGACGAGAACCGCGCCCACGCGGGGCAGCGCGCCGGGACCCCAAGTCCTGCGTTCCTGCCGCTCACCGAGCGCGATCTGCTGCGTCCACCGCCGCCCAGTGCCGGAAAGTACAGCCTGACCCGCCGGGCACCTACGCAATCTGAAGGCCGCTCCTTCCGATGAAGGACCGGGTCTCAGATCAGCCTCCACTGGAGGGACTTGGGGTCCTTCCCAGGACCTCACCTCGGAGAAAATGCAAAGCAGTCGATGGATTAAACAGTTGCGTTTGCAAGTCCCAGAAAGACCCAGGGAAATCGTGCCAGTGCGTTGGAGACGAGGTGGGGGGCGGGGAGAGGCGGACCGGCGGCCTTAGGAACAAAAAAGGTGGGGATCGGCCCGCACGGAGGCCCGGGGAGGAGGAGTCGGCGCGGCCGGGCCGCGGGCCGCGGGGGCGCCGGCCTCCGGCTTCCTCGGGGAGGCTTCGGACGCCGCGGAAACCTACATTTGCTTCTTCTGCCCCAAGTCCGATTTTTAAAAGGAAGGAAAAGAGAGAATTACAGTTCACAAAAGGCGCACGGAGCGCCTTCCGCCGGGGTGGGCCCGGGCCGGCCGCCTTCCTCGCCCTCCGCCACTTGCCCGGACCCCCGCGGCCCCTGCGGGTTCTGCAGGCAGCTCCCCGCTCTGCACGCGCGCCCCCCACCCCCCGCCGGCACGCGGCCCCTTCCTCTCCCACCGGCCCGCCTCTCCTCGCCCTTCTTCCCCGCAGAGCCCCCGGCCCGGCCGCCCCAAAGCGCCGGCTGCAAACTTTCCGCTGCAGGGCGCCTCTGCGCGGGATGCGGCCGCGTCCCCGAGGCGCCCGCCGCACGGGAAGAAGTTCGCCGGCGAGGGCGACGTGAAGATACCGCCCCGCAGCTTGACTGTGCACGCGCGAGACAACTCTAGTTTCGAACATCTTTTATTTGCCATGTTTTCTTTCCAAAAACAAAATCACCTAAATGAATACGCCCGCCACCAAAAAGCAAAACAAAAACCAACCTTACGGATTTATGTTTTGCTTTTTGGCAGAAGTGGCCGCGGGGGGCTGTGCGGAGCGATTGCAACCCGCGCCCGCCCTTCCTCTCATTTTCCGGGGCTCTTCCTGGAGCCCAAAGCTGTTGCTTCGTGAAACTTACACAATTACAGGCAGGCGGGAGAAGGCCGGCTGGCGAGCGGGAAGGTTCTAGAACGGAAAAGAAGCCCGCGGCGAGCCCAGCGAGCGGCGCAGGGTCGCAGCCACACGGCCCCGCCCGCGCTCGCCCGCCCCGCGAGGGGCTCGCAGCCCTCGGCACGCTCGCGCTCGGGGCTGGCGGGGGTCGCCCGCTTCCCGCCGGCGCACGACGCTAGGGGAAGCGCTGCGAGGCCATCTGTGCCGGAGCTTCGACCTGACAAGGCCACTCGTGAGACAAAAATAAGAGATGTAGTCAATGAAAAAGGACACACTGGGGCCTGGGGCACATCCTGGTGGCCGCTCGGGGATGCAGGACACGCGCGGAGTGCCGGCACCGGAGTGGGCGAGGGCGCGCGTGCACGGCTGCGCGTGGGGGTGCGCGCGCGGTGACAGGGCGCGTGCGTGCGACCGCCGGCGAAGGGGGGGGGCGTGTGCGGAGAGCGCGCCGCGCCGGCGGCCGCGGGGTGCGGGGCGAGTTAGGACCGGCGCGACCCCCTCACTTGCCCCCCCACCTCACGTCACCCCCCGAAAGTCCTAGAACACGGAGGGCCCAGCGGGGGACTTTCATGGACTTGGAACTTTGAGTCGCGCGGCCTCGGGGCACCTTGCGCCCCCTGCCCATTCCGCAGGCGCCCCGGCACTGCAACCCGTCGGGAAACGGAACGGGGTGGGGGACCCCGGAGCCCCGGGCCCCCTCCCTCCTCCAGGATTTAAGGAGCCGCTGGCGGCGGGGAGGCCCTGCGGGAGGGCAGGCGGAGGGCCGAGGCGGCCCGGTGGCGGCGG